AGAAGTCTTGCAGCCTGCACCGGCTCGGGCATGAATATTGCTTGCGTTTGCTTGACAGCAAAATAGGGCATTCCTGCGTGCAAATCAGACTTTGCGCGCTGTGTGGGCTAGCTAGACGGCTCTGAGGCTCGTTTCTGGCCGGCTCGGACTCCAGCCTTGCAGGCCGCGCTCTCAGTTCTGCGTGAGCTTCTTGGTAGTGCGCGCGTGACTGTTCGCTGCCGACCGCATGATTGTCCTTGCACTTTGACAGATTCGTAGGCGTATGTGCCGTCGATGGAATCGACGGGTCCCCTCTAGTTGTTTCTTAGAATCAAATTTACCGAATATTGGAATTAATAGTGAAATGTATAGATGAGATACACGATAATTTTTTACTATTAATTAGGTTGAATGATTTCTTTCTTTAAAAATATTGGTTATAAATTAGGATCGCACATCGAAGATAAAATTATTCGAATGAGAATGAAATATCGTATATAGAGAATATAGAACCTCGACAAAGAAATTCATTCCTTTTTGTTCTATATATTCTCAAGAGAAAATAAGTTTATTATAATTCTGAATTAAGAGGGTATATGGAGCAAATCTAGATTCGAAGATAAAGATGAGATTCTAAAATCTGATTATAAATTATTGAATAGGTTTTTATTATTTATTTAATAAATGAAATCTTAGTTTCGGTATTTCATATTAGCCTTGTGGTCTATAATGTTTGCCATATGGGGGCAAACATTAATTAAAGAAATACATCGTCACGAAGTCTTGGATGATTATTTCATTATTCTAGATTTATTTATGAAATTACGAGTGGTATTTTTATTTAAATCGAGGATAATAAGGATTTTTTGCTGGAATACGATATGTGCGTCCAAAAGCGTTAATTGAACAAAAGAAGATCCGAATTCAGATATCATTGAATTACGATATTCAATCCGAGAGATTTCTGCTCTCTTGGCTTCTACTCCCGCATGCTCCAATTAATCCGATTTCATGGTTCGATTTAAGATCGAAAAAGAGAGAGGAGACTTACGCTCCGATTATAATATAAAAGAGAATACCGGATGGCAGAAGAAAACAAAAGGATCCAAGAACAAGCGATCAAAGGATATTCTCTGATAGGAATTAAGGAAGTCCGGATGAGGTTTACCAAATGATTCCCTCTTCGCATAATTGAGGCCTTATATTTGACGAATATCGATCTTATATGACGTTACAATAAGAAGGTCATTTTCGATTGGATTTGATATCGAAATATATCTGACCTATGATATTGGATATTTTCATATTCCTATTATATGGCATTGAAAAATGAAATCATTTCCCTATCGTATCCTCCTATTACCTCAAAAATGAATGATTGGAAATCCATATTCTGCCCCATACATTGCCATGTAATATCTTGTGATGAACGTTCGAATTCTGTAGACGCCCTCGCCATGGCGGCTGCGTACTCAGCTACCTTTATGGACGCCGATATTCGATATTATTCATGGAGATATTATGATATAATCAAGTACCGAATTCGGATGATTTCGTCAAGTGCTCTAGATGAGGAGGATCATAGATAATAAGAATATCTCCAATGACCATTATCGTGGGATATCGGATGATAATCCCGAGACCTCCAATTAGGATCTCGAATCGATTTGTTATGATAAAGGATAATTACAATTATGATATATATATTGAATAATTTAATATGATATCTTTCCCATATTCATATTAAGGCATGATATCATTCTCCTATGGAAGAAAAGATATCCATTATCTTCTTGGAATATTATCATATCTAATCGTAATGGAATAGAATCTGAGATTGTAATATTAGATAAGAAGGAATCCTCCCTCCTTGATGGAATCGAGACAATCCAATCCCACGATATCGGGTCCCGTGGCGTATAAATGAATACGATCGGCAGGATTTATCATCGATAAGATTGATCGGTCAAATCAATTTATTATCTCAATGGGAGATGAGATGATTTCGGATATTCATCATATTCCAGATCGAAGAAAAATTTGGAAATGAATATCTAATGATAAATTCTATAATAGGATCTCTTTGAATATTGAAAAATGAATTTCATCAAATATGAATATAATTATATCCATGGGATATATATTATCATCTATCAGATTGATATGGACGATTGATATTTCGATTATCAAATAGATAATCTATTCAATAATTCATGATCTGATTCGAATCTCGCCTTCGAATTTAATTCGGATTGACGATGATTTTTTCTGAGAATATATATAATGAAAATGGAGAATTTCTTTATCGAGATTCTATATTCTCTAATTACGATTTTTTATTCTTGTTTCAAAGATTTCGTCCTCGATAGAAAATTTGATTTATATAATCAATATTTAGTTTCTTCATTTCATTCTCTTCTTTTGTTTGCTTCTAAATTATATTATGAACCCCCTAAGAATTATATGGGAGAAAGGGATGCATTAATTGGTCTTTTCCATCGGCGAAGCGAACGACCGGGAAAATAAGGGAGAAAGAAATATGAATATTATAGATAAAATGTCAATTAAAATATGGGTTTCTTTGCGAAGAGAATTCCATTACAAATTTAATTGGATTTCTGATTCTTCGTTCATGAATTAATTCATTTGCGAGGAATTGAAATATTATTATGATTAATGAAGATGATATATGAATCATTTCAAGAAATATCCAAGAATATTATGAATTAAAATATAAATGAAAGAAATGAATTCCTGAATCATATTGTTGCTATAACATTACAATGAACGAATGCTTCGTAAGGAATATCCAGAACTCCTAGTCGATGCAAGCGATTTCTACGCCCAAAAATACCAATTAAAGATCTCCAGGGACTCTAACACTTCGAAATCAAGTCAAATGAGAGGCTTCTGCTCCCAGATGAAAAGATAAAGATTCAACCCTATAGTTTTCCCAATCGAGAGTCACGAACAAGACCGACGAGATCAAAGATCCCATGCACTCCCATTGGAAAAGGACCTGCCGCCACCCGAATTACGAGAATGCACGGGGCCCAGGAAACAAAGCCTCCAAAGCGGGACTCCAGAATTCACCCTCACTCAGCTCACCGGGCGGCGCCGCAGCCGATGGCACATGTGACACAGCGAAAGCACCTGCGCGGGGGTCCTATAGTGATGATCATATTATCTTTCAGAAAGAGTCTGTACGGATCACTCCTGATATACGTATGCTATCTTCAAGTGAGCACGAAATTCTCTGCAAGTATCTCAGATTCCCGGCAATGAATAGTGTGATGACGTTCAAAGCAGACATATACGTGGCGTTACAAGAATATAGAAATACGTTCCTGCAACAAGCGCCACATTTGGCCTGGGGACCATCCGAGGGATTCATCTGTAATTTTGTGCAACGAATCCAATATATATCGTCCCTCTATATTCATATCGTCGATATAATCGAATATAATCGGGTCAAAACCTATTCCTTACTCATCGATAACATTATTGGGGGCGTCGATTCGTCCATTTCTATTCAATATATCGTTCCGTATTGGAGATATTATCACCAATTATGAAGAGATTTTATCGCAAAATCCAGAGTCACGCGTGGGAGGAAATTCCATGTAGATTATCTACACAAAGAGGTCGGGATCGTGAGGATATCAATTGATCGAAGATCGGGCGTCGCTGGCAACAAAAAAAAGATGAAAAGAGCGAATTAATTCATTCATTTTGTTTTTTATTGTTTATGTAGTATTCTTATTTTTATTTATCTCTAATCTGTTCATTCATTTCTTCTTCTTATAATTCTATTTATATTATCTTCATTCGTTTATATATTAAATATATTCGTTGAAAATTCTATTTAATATATGAAAAGTATGATGATCTATGAAATGGATCATTGATGAAAATATTTAGAATTTTTAGATTTAAAAAATCATCTTCATTTTATTTCAGATATTCTCTTTCCCATAGAAGATTATGATTATAATTATCAACCGAGAATATATATCTCCCAGATCTATTTTTGTTTAATTAGCGTTTTTAGGTATATATATCGCTCGAAATAATACCACGATTTTACTCATCATATCCACGATTTATCTCTAGCTAATCCACGAATTAAGACAAATAAGAAAAAAAATTAAAAAATTTGATTGCCCAACAAATACTTCTCCATCCATCAATCCAAAACCCCAAAATCTCATGACAAAATAATTTGGCTTCCAAATGTCAATTCCTTATTTCCTCATTAGGGAATCTTCGTATTTTGTCTTGGAATATCTTTTAAATAGGGGCGATAATAGCCTTTTTAAGCGATAAGATATCTTGGTAGAATTCAAAATTTTTCGTATTATTTTTCAATTAATTTATCATTCCTATCATATTTGTTATTTATTTTCCTTTAGAATTCAAATATATGAAAAGAAATTTCTGAAATCAAAAAAAAATAATATAAATATATCTAGAATTTAAATAGTTTCTAAAATTTGAATTTTTATCTATTTCCTCAATAATCCATTATCATTTCAAAATCCATTTTCAGAGAATCCTAATTCTAAGATTAATTCAAATTAATTGCCCAATTCCAAAAATATCTCAGAAAAATAGAAATTGAAAACGATAAAAATGAACGAAGATTCGAAATGAATTAATTATAGAAAGAAATCTAGTACTAATATAAGAGATTATTCCAATGAACAATTTATCTATTCAAATATCATCAATCGTATAAATCAAATAATAAATTTGAAATTACAAGACGGAATCCAATATGAGAAGTATCTTTCAAGTAATTCAAATAAATGAAAAAATTCATAAATCGTATATATCCAAGTAAGCATCAATAGTATTAAGATCTATCACATGTCCGACATATGATAAGACTCGATGGTCCTATAGGACCCCCTCCACAAATCGACAATCAATCGACCAAGATATTCCTAGAAAAAAGAAATTTCCCGATGTTCCTGATGAATAGGTTTTTCAGTGTATGATTGCCGGGAATCTTGGGATTACTAGTACAGCACCTCGGAGGTCCTCAGGCCTCCTGGATTTAAAGAACCAGGGATCGGGCTTCCAACCCAGACCCCCTCAACCTCCGTGATGAAACGGGAGGCCTCGAGCAAGGAAGCGAACTCAAAGAGCTCCAGCTACAGGTGCCTTATCAGCACTTACGGCATAAAAGCGCACCCAGCCAGGATCATTCATGGACAACTCGCTACAGATCAGTCCTCGCGATAAAAGGATGTGCAGACGCCGGCGATTGCGGGAGCCTTCGTCGTGGCTTCTTCTACAACGGGGCCAGAAAAGGTCTTGTGCTTCAGCCAGCACTTGACGGTCCCTACGCCGCATGTTCTGCAGGAATCAAATTCGACGCACTTGGCAAAGCCATTGCAACCTATCGACCGCCGGTTCTCACAGGCTAAGGCACACGCGCCAGGAGTGCTAACAGTGCCGTCATCCGGGCTTTGAGACAGTTTAAAGTCTGACATTCCTTTGTCGGTCCCCTCGTCCACCCACACAAGTTCCTTGCCTGGCGTCTTGTAGATGACCTCCTGCGCTTCTCCATAGACAGGTCTAGGAAGTGACGCAGAACGTCCCCTAAACCCGATACCCTAAACCCGAAAACCCCCGTAACCACTTTAATCCACCGAGGCCTCGGGTGCATCAAGACCAGTGCCGTTCCACACCCCCCCCCCAACCCCCCCCCAACCCCCCAACCCACCACCCCCAGCCCCCACCACCCCCCCACTCCACCACCGGGGGCCTGCCGTACCGGCAACCGCCCAGGATCGTGACAGAAACCGTGTAACAGGAGAAGGACAACCGTAACAACAACCAGCAGGCGTGCAACAGAAACCAGGACCCCACCGCAACGGAAACCACCAACGGGTTTCGGGTTCGGCATCCAAGTGGCTTAGTGTTGCGTCTTATCCGTTACACCTTTCTCTTGTTTTCTGTTACCGCCTGCAGGCTTTCTGCGGTTACTTTCCTCTGTTACGCCCCGCCAGTTGCTGTCACGGAGTTTTCTCCCCCCACCGCCCCCACCCCCCCATCCCAAAATGAAAGCCTCCCAAAGCGCAGAAGCCTAAGAGCACCTTCCGGCCGAGGCGGGTCGCATAGCACGAACATTATTTAGCTGGACTACTATGCTGACTAATTATAACTGAGCTGGTACCAAGTCTAAACAAACGTAAGCAAATGGCGTCATGTCGAATCAGTCCTTGCCCGGGGCATAGAACGACGTGCAGAATCCGGATTTGGTGGCTTCACCGGCAGAAGGGCCCATAAAGGCTTTGAACTTTAGCCAACATTGTCCCGACCCATCGCGGGCCGTGCACTTGGTAAAGCTATTGCAATTTGCCGTGGCGTCGCATTGTGCGGCACACTCACCAGGAGTGCCGTCATCCGGACTCGAAGAGAACCAGGTCATATGAATGCCCGCCCCCTGGTCCACAAACACGAGGTCCTTGCCGGGTGTCTCGTAGACCGTGGGCGGGGGTGTCGGCGTGGTCGTGGTCGTGGTGTCTGCGTCCTTCTCACAGCTTCTTAAACACTGCCAACTGCCAACCCCGAGCACTGCCCAAGAAACAGGGCCCTACTCCCACCTGGCAAGCCCTGCGCGCCTCTAACTAAGAGGCCTTAAACTCTTTTCGCTTAGATGGTCCACTCTGGGCTTTTCCAAAACCAAACACAAGGCAGCGTAAGCACACAGCGACACGATAGCTCAATCCTGGCCCGCGGCCGCCCCGGCATAGTAGTACGATGTGCACCCCCACACATTTTTCGTAGGCTCATCTGCGATGGGGCCATCAAAGGTCTTGTGCTTTAGCCAGCATGTTGAGCCGCACTGCGCAAAGCCATTGCAACCTGGCGTGGAGTCGCAGGCTCCGGCACAGAAGGTGCTATCCCCAAGCTGGCCCCAGGGGATGTAGGCAGAGCCCTTGTCGTCACCCTCGTCAGTCCACACGAGGCCGCTACCCGGTGTCAAGTAGACGCCGTCGCGAGGGGCGGTGGTAGTGGTGGTAGTGGTGGTAGTCTCAGTGCCTCCACCGGACTCCTGCACGGGTGATACTTCAACAACAGGAAGGCCCCCTCGCATAAGCAGCAACCAGAAACCACCGCGAGAAAACCACAAGATGCAACACAAAAACAGAATCAGAATGAAAACGCAAAAGCCGAAAGCAGGCGTTGCGAATGTTAAGGAATCCTGGGAAATGGCTAAGAAACCTTAAATAAACGAATTCCAGGAAATCGCTTCCAGTAACCTATAGACAAGCATAAGAATCCTATAGGAAATCCTCGAACATCCTTGGAAACCGAAAGAAAATTTCAGGCAATCTGAAGACATGATGTGAAACGCAAGGATATCCGAAGACGTTTTCGTAAATCAATAAGAATTTGTGCAGGAAATCTTAAGAATGAGCCTAAGCATTCCAAGGAAACCACAGGAAATGCTTTGAAAGTACTTGGAAGGTCAAACTCCAGCAAAAAGACGAAGCCGTGTCAATTACTTCGATGGCCTACTATTGCCAAGTCTACGACAGCAGCATAAGCACATAGCGACACGATTGCCCCGTCCTCGCCCGTGGCATAGAAGGATGTGCACCCCCACACATTTTTCGTAGGCTCATCTGCGATGGGGCCATCAAAGGTCTTGTGCTTTAGCCAGCACGTTCCGCGCCATCCGTGGCACTTGGCAAAGCCATTGCAACCGGGCGTGGAGTCGCAGGCTGCGGCACACGCACCAGGAGTGCCGTCATCCGGGCTGGTGGACTTGTCAAAGCTGACGCTCCCTTTGTTTTCCCCCTCGTCCTGCCAGACCTTCCCCTTGCCCGGGGTAGCGTAGACAACAGAGCTGATGACAATCTCGTGCTTTGCGGTTTGGCCCACTTGAAGCATGCTCGGCGCGCGAGCCTCACACGCATCCGGTGATGGCGTGGCAGCCAGGGCGATGGCAGCCATGGCCATGGGCAGTAGAAAAAGGCTAAAGTGCATCATCACGGCTTCTGGCGCGAGAAAGCCGGAGACCGAACCAGGAATCGAGCCGCTATTGGCTGAGGATGCGCGATTCTCCCTCGACACTCGCATCCACTCTAGACTCTAGATGATTGCGCAAGTTCTCTACTTGAAGGTTCATGGGGTACTTCTAAGTGGGGTTCTAAGTAGGGTAATGGTAATTAGAACTGGTTATATATCCTTATTTAGGGTACTTAGAACCCCACTCTTCTGGAAGGGGCCATTGCCAAGCCTTAGCCTTGGTGAGCCTTTGGGCGCTTGGGGACTCCGCTTAGGGCTGGGTTGACAGGGTTTAGGGTTTAGAGTTTAGGGCTAGGGTTTAGGGTTTGTAGGGTTTGCAGTGTTTGTAGGGTTTGCAGGGTTTAAAGGGCTTACAGGGTTTATAGGGTTTAATTATAGGGTTTCTAGGGTTGTAGGGTTTGTAGGGTTTACAGGGTTTATAGGGTTTGTAGGGTTTATAGTGTCTACAGGGTTTACAGGGTTTGTAGCTTACAGGGTTTATAGGGTTTTAGGGTGTATAGGGTTTGTAGGGTTTGTAGGGTTTAAAGGGTTTGTAGGGTTCGTAGGGCTTAGGGTTCTGCTTCCTTTGCTGAGATGATGGGCGTCATCGCCATCAGCCTTTCTTTGTCTTTAGGGTTGAGGGTTGAGGGTTTACGGTTTCGGGTTTAGGGTGTAGGGCGTAGGGGTTAGGGTGTAGGGTTTAGGGTTTAGGGTGTAGGGTTTAGGGCTTAGGCTTAGGGTTTAGGGTTTAGGATTTAGGGTCTAGGGTCGAGGGGTTAGGGTTTAGGAGTTAGGGCTTAGGGGTTAGGCTTTGGGGTTGAGGGCATAGGGTTTAAGGTTAGGGTCTAGGGCCACTTGGAGGTTCATGGGTAGCTATCAGTGGGGTTTCAAGTAGGGTAAAGTTGAATTATAACTGGTTCTAACCTTCTTTAGGGCACTTTAAACAACCTTCGTAAAACTACCCAAACCCCAAACCCCAAACCCCAAACGACAACCCCAAACGGAGAAGGCTCAGGTAGGCTTCGGTTCTTGGAGAGGCTCGCAGAGTTCTGGCTTTATGGACTTAGGAATCCCTCTCCCGAAGGGCCTTAAAGGCGTACCCTCTGACCAAATCCCCTAAACCCTAAACCCTAAACCCTAAATCGGAAATCCCCAACCCTACAGTGATCCTTTCCCAAGCTACCCGAAACCCCCCCCGGAGAGCCTACTTGCAGCTTCACGCTCGGACCTTCGTCGTTCGATCAATGAAGGGTATTGCCTACTGACAACGCCCATCGATTCGTGCGCACCAGCTACCTGAAAATTCCCGAGACTCCAGGCCTCTCAAACTCTAAAATACGATAAGTTTTGAAATCAAAATGAACTGCCGCGCACGTCGTAACAACATCTGCACGCGTATATGATTGATGGGTATGTGGGGGTCGCCACAGATAATTCCCTAGCAATATTGATGGCCAAAGTCACAGATTGAAAGGGACTAGTTGCCGCCATATCCAGAGCGATTCGAAGGTACTTAGATCGAGGATGACCAAGGCCCAATTATCAATACCCTATAAACCCTAAACCCTAAACCCACGGTCAACTGGAAGGAAAGAAACGAAAACCCTAAACCCTAAACCCTAAACCCTAAATTATTGATCCATAGATGCCTCCAAGATCTGATCGTGGCCCAGAACGACCCGTGTTCAAGATTGCGACTCTGACGCCTAGAGCCTAGAGGGGGGTTTAGGGTTTAGGGTTTAGGGTTTAGGGTTCAGGGTTTAGGGGCGAAGTAAGATAAAAGATCAGCATTCCCCATTCGTCACAACAACCCCCAAGGCCCCGCAACGAGCTAAATTCATTGCACAATGATGACCTTGAATATCAAATTTCATATGTTCCACGAGTATTTTTGAGATGTCAATAATCCAATCTCAATATTTCTAATCTAATCAAATCCAACATAGTTCAACGATTGATATGTGCATTGTGCTTTCGAGATGATCTCATTGCTATATATATATATATAAATAAATATACATTTATATATTTAATTTCCAAATAATCAAGTCTTAAATTTTTAGAAATGAAAATTCAAACCTATACATATATATATATATATATATCAAGCAAATCGCAAATAAATAGATCGACCTGAATATTTAAAAAAAAAAAAACTACTTCTCCTTCCGGAAGAAGTCCTCCGCATTTAGCGACAGAGTGCTTGATTTTAACGCAAGACTCGTAGTGCGCACTTGAACTCCTAGAAAAAAGAAATTTCCCGATGTTCCTGATGAATAGGTTTTTTCAGTGCATAGTTGGGAAAGTGTTGGGAATCTTGGGATTATCGTACAGCACCTCGAAGGCACTCAGGCCTCATGGATTTGAAGCCCGACAAGCCGGGGCATCGGGTTTCCAACCCTGAGCCCCCTCAACCTCCGTGATGAAACAGGAGGCCTCGAGCAAGCCAAGCTCCAGCTACAGGTGCCGTAGCAACAGCACTTATGGCAGAAGTGCGCACCCAGGATCGTTCATGGACAACTCGCCACAGATCAGTCCACGCGATAAAAGGATGTGCAAGAGCTGCTACTCTTCGTGGATTCTTGTGCAGGGCCGTGAAAAAAGGTCTTGTGCTTCATATAGCACGTGACGACCCCTCCGCTGACGGAGTGGCACTTGGTAAAGCCATTGCAACCCTCATTGGTTTCGCAGGCTTTGGCACACGCACCAGGAGTGCCGTCATCCGGACTTCCAGACAAATCTTCGGCCCACATTCCTTTGTCGGTCCCCTCGTCCAGCCACACTATGTCCTTGCCGGGCGTCTTGTAGATGACCTCCTGCGCTTCTCCAGGCCAAAGTCTTAGAAGTCACTCAGAAGGTCTTAAACTTAATCCACCGAGGCCTGGAACGGTACACCAAGACCAGTGCCCCCGCCCTAACCCCCCCGCCCCCCGCACCCCCCCCACCCCCACCCCACCCCGTGCCTGCCCCGCTGGGCGGGCTCCGGCCGAGGCGGGTCGCGTAGCGCTAACACTATTTAGCTGGACTACGGACTACTGGGCTGGTACAAAGTCTAAGCAAACGTAAGCAAATGGCATCATGTTGACTTAGTCCTTGCCCGGGGCATAGAACGACGTGCAGGCGAATCCGGATTGGGTGGCTTCATCGGCAGAAGGGCCCATAAAGGCTCTGAACTTTAGCCAACACGTTCCCTGCCCATCGCCGCACTTGACAAAGCTATTGCAAAGTGCCACGGCGTCGCAGTGTGCGGCACACTCACCACTCGAGAAGAACGGGATCGGCAGCGACACTGGCGCCCCCTGGTCCGCAAACACGAGGTCCTTGCCGAGTGTCTCGTAGACCGTTGTCGGGGGTGTCGGCGTGGTCGTGGTGGTCGGGGGTGTCGTGGGCGTGGTCGTGGACATGGTCGTGGACGTGGTCGTGGAGTCAGCGTCCTGCACAGCTTCTTAAACACTGCCAACTGCCAACCCCGAACACTGCCCCAGAAACACGGCCCTACTCCCACCTGGCAAGCCCTACGCGCCTCTAACTAAGAGGCCTTAAACTCTTTTCGCTTAGATGGTCCACTCTGGGCTTTTCCAAAACCAAACACAAGGCAGCGTAAGCACACAGCGACACGATAGCTCAATCCTGGCCCGCGGCCGCCCCGGCATAGTAGTACGATGTGCACCCCCACACATTTTTCGTAGGCTCATCTGCGATGGGGCCATCAAAGGTCTTGTGCTTTAGCCAGCATGTTGAGCCGCACTGCGCAAAGCCATTGCAACCTGGCGTGGAGTCGCAGGCTCCGGCACAGAAGGTGCTATCCCCACGCTGGCCCCAGGGGATGTAGGCAGAGCCCTTGTCGTCACCCTCGTCAGTCCACACGAGGCCGCTACCCGGTGTCAAGTAGACGCCGTCGCCAGGGGCGGTGGTAGTGGTGGTAGTCTCAGTGCCTCCACCGGACTCCTGCACGGGTGATACTTCAACAACAGGAAGGCCCCCTCGCATAAGCAGCAACCAGAAACCATCGCGAGAAAACCACAAGATGCAAAACAAAAACAGAATCAGAATGAAAACGCAAAAGCCGAAAGCAGGCGTTGCGAATGTTAAGGAATCCTGGGAAATGGCTAAGAAACCTTAAAAAAAAACGAATTCCAGGAAATCGCTTCCAGTAACCTATAGACAAGCGTAAGAAACCTATAGGAAATCCTCGAGCATCCTAGGAAGCCGAAAGAAAATTTCAGGAAATCTGAAGACATGATGTGAAACGCAAGGATATCCGAAGACATTTAGTAAATCCTAGGGATTTGTCTAGTAAAGGTAAAGAATGCGCCTAAGCATTCCTAGGAAACCTAAGGAAATGTTTTGAAAGTACTTGGAAGTTCGAAGACATCCCAAACCCGGAAACCTTGAACTCCAGCAGAAAAACGAAGCCGGCCTACTATTGCCAAGTCTACGACAGCAGCATAAGCACATAGCGACACGATTGCCCCGTCCTCGCCCGTGGCATAGAACGATGTGCACCCCCACACATTTTTCGTAGGTTCATCTGCGATGGGGCCATCAAAGGTCTTGTGCTTTAGCCAGCACGTTCCGCGCCATCCGTGGCACTTGGCAAAGCCATTGCAACCTGGCGTGGAGTCGCAGGCTGCGGCACACGCACCAGGAGTGCCGTCATCCGGGCTGGTGGACTTGTCAAAGCTGACGCTCCCTTTGTCTTCCCCCTCGTCCTGCCAGACCTTCCCCTTGCCCGGGGTAGCATAGACAACAGAGCTGAGCACAATCTCGTGCTTTGCGGTCTGGCCCACTTGAAGCATGCTCGGAGCGCGAGCCTCACACGCATCCGGTGATGGCGTGGCAGCCAGGGCGATGGCAGCCATGGCCATGGGCAGTAGAAAAAGGCTAAAGTGCATCATCACTGGTTCTGGCGCGAGAAAGTGGAACCAGGAATCGAGCCGCTATTGGCTGAGGATGCGCGATTCTCCCTCGACACTCGCATCCACTCTCGATGATTGCGCAAGTTCTCTACTTGAAGGTTCATGGGTACTTCTAAGTGGGTTATATAAGTAGGGTAATGGTAATTAAGAACTGGTTATATACCCTTTTTGGGGAAGTTAGAGCCCTACTTATAACTACCCATGAACCTCCAAGTAAGATCTCTCTGGAGTTTCAGCGCTGGAGCTCGCAGTATGCAAGTGAGGTCGCCAAAACAAGACACTTTTCCTCGTCACCCAAGCTACGTGGAAAAATGGGGGCCTGAATAATTAGAAAACAGGGTTTGGGGGGGCCATTATAGTATCATTACAAAGGGACCATAAGGGAATACCATTAGTAGTTCTTCCGACCCCTATATTGGAGGTGAGACTTGAAATAAGTCTTGAAACAGCATTGCACCCTAGTTTGCGTACTTTGACCACAGTCTTGAGTGCTGCGGATTGAGGTGAAACATGAGAAGCGAAGGTAAATCTCTTCGCAGAGGGCTTGTGGAATGAGGAAGCTCGTAAAGGGAACCGGGGGGCTCTTTCAGAGTACAGCGGGGCCCTCTTGTGGGCAAACCGTCTGCCTAAGTAATTTGGGGTTTTAGGGCGTTTGGGTCCAGACCTTCATTTTTCGAGTCCAAGACACCGTCCCATCTGAGCGCTCATTTGCCCTCACCAGGATGGGCGATTAGGCCCGATTATCAACAGAATCAAGCCCATAAAGGGCCATTTTGCGGGGTTATGGTTCGGTTATAGGGTATCAAAGCCCATGCTGGAAACGACGAAAGCGGAGAAGATCTAGTCACTCGGACCTTTGCAGCGCCAAGCGATGTAGAAGATGACTGCGTTCGTGGCGCTGGCGATGACCCCGCCAGGAATTTGAGCTTCTTGGACGAAAGGCCCGGCAAGCAGCACGAAGAAGAACACCACCAGGACCATCCTACACTCCCCTTAGAACCTCAATAAAAATGAAATGTTTAATGCCCTCTTGGGATTTATATAAACAAACATGAAAAGCAATTCCCAAGGGGGGATATAGCAGCAAGACCCAAATCAGCAAGGTCTTGCCTCGGTCAGACAAGGAAGTTCATCTGGGGGGTTGCCGAAACTAAAGGTACCTTCTTAAGGGGCCCGTATCACAAGGGAATCCTGCTATTTTGGGGGTCTTTTCTTAGGGGTCCCCTATTTTCGCAAACCCCCAAAAAATTAGGCATGAGATCCTCTTGGGATCAAGCCAAGCGGGCTGCAGTACTCAAGCACTCCGGTCGGGGCGTCGGTGAGGTGCTCGCACGAGAACAGTATCAAGTGCATGATGTTCCTGGGGGGCCGGGGGCTCATCGCTTGGGGCGTTTGGGTTGGAATGTTCCCTCTTAAACTACCTGCCCTCAACAGGGATTCTAGTACCCCCTATGATAATCCCTAGTTAGCACATGTTAGTATAAGGGGCCGTGCTCAGAACTGGCAAGAGCCAGGCTGGGCAGTTCGGCCCTCGAATAACCCTTTAAAGGGGCTTCTTAAGGGGGGAGTAGATAATCAACCCCACCCCCCCCCAAAAAAAGGGGTGCTTTTTAAGGGGCTATAGGGCATAACCGCCTACAAAGGGCCTGTTAAAGGGGTTAGAGGGTGTCATGGCCTATAAGGGGTTCAAAGGGTTACAAGGTATCATCGCCTACAAAGGACCTTTGTAAGGGGTTAGAGGGTATAATCGCGTATAAAGGATTGTTTTAAGGGGTTAGAGGGTTTACTAGCCTGTAAACACGGCCCTGTTTAGGGGGTTATAGGGCTACAGCAGCGCATGCTGAAGAGTGCGCCGAGGTTCATACAGAAGAGAGGTGCCGCGACCACCAAGACCAGCAATGAGGCAACGGCCTCCTGAGCAGTCTGCCCCTGCCGAAACCTGCGCCATTGCTAACCCTAAACCCGAATATGGGCCCTTAAATGGGGATTTACCCCTTACAAACCTGCACCGTTGTTGGGGTACGATTTTTAAAAACACTGTCATTTTTGGTTCCTTATTGGGTAGGGTACTATTTAAAAACATGGCCACTTTGTGGTTCTGATTCCGTTTAAGAACTCAGAAACATGTAAGCTGATGTTCAACAATGGCCCAGAAACAGGTGCAGCCAGACATCCATCTCCTGGCCCCCCAAAAACAGGGCATGGTGCTGGCTTTCTTTCCGGGGGGGGGGGGTGGGTGGTCCTCTAGTATAGGGCCCTTCGTAATCCCCTAAACCCTAAACCCTAAACCCTAAACCCTAAACCCTAAACCCTAAACCCTAAACCCTAAACCCGAGCCCCTAAAGCCCACAGTCTCCCTACGAAGAATCGGGGTGGGGGTGGGGGGGTGGCCTTTGCCAAGCTGTAGCCCTGGGCAATTAACCGGCTTCGGGATGTTTAGGGTTTATAGGGTTTACAGGGTTTACAGGGTTTATAGGCTTTGAAGGGTTTACAGGGTTTACAGGGTTTATAGGGTTTGAAGGGTTTACAGGGTTTATAGGGTTGATAGGGTTTACAGGTTTAGGGTTTAGGGTTCTGCTTCTTTTTCCCGAGGCTCGGCTGAGATGATGGGCGTCATCGCCATCAGCCAATACGCGATGGGCAGCGTCAGGAAGAAGAAGGGCCTAGACCCAGGAATAAACAAGGGTGCCCTTTTTGGCTTTAAGGGGATTGCATAAGGGAACCCCAACCCCAAAGAAAATCGAAAACCTTAAGCCCTAAACCCTAAACCCTAAACCCTAAAGAGTAGGGTCCGAGGGACTCTGTGAGCTCATCTGCGAGTGGGCCTCTGACGTAGTCCACGAATGCTTCCGGGCTGCGGTACCACTCGCGGATGCCTTCGTAGATGAACTCCTCGTCTGTTGGGACCTTGCAGTCCTTGGTAGCCCGGTAGCCCGGTAGCCCTAAACCCTAAACCCTAAACCCTCTTTGGGTTGGTCCTGGGTATAGGGGAACCCCAGCTTCCCAAAAAAGGGACATAGGGTACCACTGGCCTAACCAAGAGTCCACTTTGTCTAGGTCAAAAGTCCGGAGGCCGGCAATCAGCTGGCGCTTCTCGTGGCAAATTCTGCGAAGGCCGTGGAGAAGAACCTAGACTCCCCTTATAGAGCCTTAATGAAGATAATGCTTGTACCCTAAACCCTAAACCCTAAACCCTAAACCCTAAACCCTAAACCCTAAACCCTAAACCCTAAAGGTTTTAACAACAACAAAAAAATAAATTCCCAAGGGGGATGTAGGAACGAGGAAGGGGAGCAGGGAGCAGCAGGTCATGCCCAGGGGCAGCCAGCTCATGTCGTAGGACCTGAGCGTCACCCAGCACTGAAGCCCTAGACCCTAACCGTCCCAACCCCCCGCCCCGAACAAAACAAAGGTGTGTATAAATAAATAAACAAATAAATAAAGAAATAGAAATATATATATATATATATATCTGTAAAAAAACTAAATATGTATATATATATATACAACACACACACACAACACCCACAACCAATCCGCTTTTCAACCCCCGAGCTGTCAAATTTCTCGGCCCCCCCCCCCCCCCGGCCTCTCTCCCAGCAGTCGCACCTTGACATCCTCGAAAACGACCTTGGTGTTACCACTTTTGGGGGTTTCCGAAAATGGGGGGTGCTGGGATATGAACGGGGTGCCCCCCCTATTTTGGGAAGAACCCATTTCTGTGGACGTCCCTTCCTATGCTCTCGTCTTCAGTTCTTGGGGTTGGGGTTCTGAAGTTGCTCCTCCAGTCTTAAAGGAACCCCCCCCCCCCCGGTCGCCCGGACTTCAACCTCTGTAAACGCCCCAGCCGCGAAGAAGTAGACTGCGAGGATCACGTAAAGCAAGCCCGTCTCCAGGAAGAGCGGCTTTAGGTGGATCCTCGTGGTCACTTGAGTCGGCTTCGGGGGTTCAGAGTTCAGGGGTTCAGGGCTTCAGGGGTTCAGGGGTTCTGGGCTTCAGGGTTCAGGGTGCGGGTTCAGGGTTCAGGGTTTTAAGTTTAGAGCAACCCTAAACCCTAAACCCTAAACCCTAGACCCTAAACCCTAAACCCTAAACCCTGGACACAAAAACTGGGAGAGTCCTTCCAGTGGGGTTCGCTTGGCGGAAGGCCGCCAGTTCGAAGACGCACCAAAGCCTGCCCGCCGGCGAAAAAAACCTCACAGCCTACAGGTGTAGTTAGGGTTTATGGTTTTAGGGCTTAGGGTTTAGGGTTTAGGCGATTCTGTTCATGGTATCTGAACAGGAGTCGTTCAGACCGGTGTGTCGAGGATATGGATGTGGACGAGAGATGGCTATGGAATTCTTGGAAGTCATGAACGATACGAGCGATATGCAGTAGAGATATACATATTATTTGTAGATGCACTCAACAATATCTACAAGGAATGGTATATACACAGACCCCGGAACGCCGGAACACAAACCCTAACCTCCCGATTCCAAACCCTGACCCCCCCCCCCGTGTGCAAGCCCTGAAATAAAAGCTACACTACAACCCGCAACAACCCAGAACCCCACATTTCCCAACCCCAAGAACACCAAGACTACTTTTAGCTGAAGAACCCCACAATAATGAAAACATATATATATATATGTATACATAGTATTCTCTTCCTTGTAAGGGCAGCATAGGGATTAGCATGTAAATCCAAAACCACCCTAAACCCACAACCTCCAGCTACAACTCCCAGGGGCGCGGAAGTCATGCGAACCCTCCGAACCCTAAATGCTGAACTTTGCCTGGCACCCTAAACCCTAAACCCTAAACCCTTAACCCCTAAACCTCAAAACCCTAAACCCTCAACCCCAAACCTCAAAACCCTATACCCTAAGCCTCAAACCCTAAAGCCAAAAACTCCAGTTTTGTGTCGGCCTCGAAAGATAAGGCGGGCTCCATAGGATCCTTGATACTTTGTTCTAGGCTGCCAAGGGTTTAGGGTTTAGGGTTTAGGCTTTAGGGTTCCAAGTATGAGCCCTTGATTTGGGTCCCTTGTTATATAACCCATATCTACACTGCATATGAGAAGGGCCCATGCCTCGGAATCCTTCTAAACAAGGGTTTTGGGTTTAGGGTTTAGGGTTTAGGGTTGAGGGTTTAGGGCCCATGGTTCCGTTCTTAGATTTGCGGCTTCCCGTCTTCCTCAGAATATTTCGCGGAATATGCATATACGACATTCTATTCTACTATGAAATAATGTAGCAGAGTATAGCCTAATACAGTCATACCCTAAACCCTAAACCCTGAACCCTAAACCCTAAACCCTAAGCCCTAAGCCCTAAGCCCTAAGCCCGAAGCCCGAAGCCCTAAGCCCTAAACCCTGACCCCCCCCCCCCCCCCCCAACCCACATCCACACACAGCCAGGATGCCGCAGCTCCGATGAGGCAGCCAGGAACCCGCCAAGACCATAGATTCCCTTCCTTTCTTTTTTCTTTAGGTTTAGGGCTTAGGGCTTTGGGCTTCGGGCTTAGGGTTTAGGGCTACTTGGAGGTTCATGGGTAGTTATAAGTGGGGTTTCAAGTAGGGTAAACTTGAATTATGACTAGTTCTAACCTATTTAGGGCACTTAAAACTCTTCGTATAACTACCCATGAACCTGCAAGTAGGCTTTCCAGGTGGTTTCGGGTCACTTGGAAACGGATGACTGTAGGGTTGGGGATTTAGGGTCTATGGTCTAGGGTTTAGGGGGTTTTTGGTCAAAGGGGACGGCTTTAAGGGGCCCTTAGGGCAACGGAGGGATTCCTAAGTCCAGGCCGCGAGAAATTTTGGACCCTCTCCAAGAACCGAAGCCTACCTAAGCCCTCACCGTTTGGGATTTGTCGTTTGGGGTTGGAGTTGAAGGTTGAAGGTTTTAGGTTGAGGGTTCAGGCTCCGACTATTGCAAAACCCTTCATCAACATGCACACATGTCGTGATCGCCCCCGTCAAAAACCCTCTGGGGCTTCGCGCAACGGAACCCCTAAACCCTAGTCCCTAAACCCTGAATCCTAAACCCTGAACCCTAAACCCTGAACCCTAAATAAACCCTGAACCCTAAACCCTGATACTTGAACCCCCAATCATCTCCAGCTCAGCATCTGCATCAAGTCCGGATCGGCCTTTCATACGATGGAAGCCCCACGGAGGCCCAGGCCCTAGGCCCCTCACGGGTGTTTAGGGGTATGGGGGGTGCTACTTGCCATCTCACCGTTTATTCCAACGTCTTAAACATACAAACTGCTCCAGCTACCCATGTCCCAAGTCCGCACTTTGGCCCTTCCCAAGCCCGACGGTATGGAGCAGTTGTGTTTGAACCTTGAAGCAGGTATGCAGGGTGCCTGGTTGATGGAAACCACGTCGAAGAAGCACCTGGTGAACGCAGGATACCCATTCTCAGGCGGCACCCTTTAAACCAGGGATCCCAAAAAGGGACCCTCATTTAGAGAACTACCGTTTTTCTACCACCGCATAGGAATCCCCAAAGGGTACTAGTTTCGGAATCCCAAGTTTGAGTGTACTATACATGTTTAGCAACTTCTGTCATCGTGGATGTCCATCTTGGATGGCCTAAAACCCCTTCGAAAAGATTCCTAAGCATGATCATCTGAAACCCAATCAAGAAAAGTATGAAGTATCCCTAAACCCTAACCCCATGTAAGGGCCTAGCATAGTGAGGGGCCTTGAAAAGTAGAATAGGGCTTTGGGAGTTATGATCGTATCATGATATAGGGGCCATAAAGGAATACTGTTAGTAATTCCGACCCCTATATTACCTAACCCTAAACCCTAAACCCTAAACCCCTAAACCCCTAAACCCTAAACCCTAAACCCTTTCTCTAAGGGCCCTCGAGCTCGGAAACGACTGGAGCCCAGCCGCATCTCACCGCCTCCGCATCTCCAGGGCAGGTAAGGAGACACGAAGAGGCCGACCGTGGACCCCAGGAAGCCGCCAATCCTCGGATTTCTTGGGAGAGCCCTAAACCCTAAACCCTAAACCCTAAACCCTAACCCTAAACCCTAACCCTAAACCCTAAACCCTAAACCCTAAACCCTAAACCCTAAACCCTAAACCCTAAACCCTAAACCCTAAACCCTAAACCCCCGGATTGTTTGAAGCTCTGGGGGAAGCGTTCTAGTCATGACGCTCTTTCCAAGCTGGAGATAGATATCCCGCTTGTGATTCTCAAAGACTGGCTCGATCATAGCAGGGGATGATGGAATGAGGTACTCTATGTAGTAGGTGTGGGGTTTAGGGCTTAGGGTTTAGGGTTTAGGGTTTAGGGTTGAGGGTTTGGGGTTTTAAAGGGTACATATAGGGACCTAATTCTCTCATTCCCTACTAAGAACCAGGGGGAAGATGAATGCTTGACCCTGATGCTCAGGGACTTTGGGGGGGGGTTCGGGTTTGGGGCTCAGGGCTTATGTAGTCTTAAGGGGTATATATAGGGTACCAGAATCCCTTAAAGGGTCTTCTTAGGCCCTATATAATCCCTGAAGGTTTGGGGCTTCTAGGTACTGGAGCTTCTCGACTTGCTGAACGAAACGCCAAGGAAGGAGGGCGCCGGCTGGCGTGGCTTTGGGGGCCTGGAATTGCTGACTTCCTGCCCTATCAGGAGTCTAGGGTTTAGTTTGGTTTTAGGGCCAAAAGTTTAGGGTTTAGGGTTTAGGGTTGAGGGTTGAGGGTTGAGGGTTTAGGGTTGAGGGTTTAGGGTCTAGGGTTCAGGGTCTAGGGTTTCGGGTTTGAAACCCTGAGCCCTGTTGCTTGCCAAAGCGCCGCATCGAGAGCCCGCGCTGGCGGCTCCACCACTCGGGCAAAGCGCCCGACAGCTCCTGCTCTGACAGGGTTCTTAAGGGAGGAGTATTAGGGTTTAGGGTTTAGGGTTTCGGGTTTAGGGTGAGTGGTATGTAACCCAAGGTTCCCTAATACTCCCCAATACTCCCTAAGCCCCCCTACGCTTTCCTCAGGTTCTCTAGGTACCTACATGAACCGCCCGGCTCACTTTGTGGGGGGTTTTCTCCCTCTGAAAAATATTCTGTTGCGGGATCTGGCCTTTTCGAGCGCTCGCAGGCGGTTTGCCAAGGACTCCGAGCGAGTCGGGCCCACCCCCCCAACGCCAAACCTGGGTTCCAGAACCTTCGCGCGTCTCTATATAGCTCGCCGTTCGCTTTAGGAGCTCAAACGCACACATGTAAACCACGAGCACGGTCGGAAAGCAAGAGGGCACACGCGAAGAATTTTTTAAAGCGGGGCGGGGGGGGGGGGGGGGTATTAACCTCTCTTCTACTGCGGGCTTCCCCGGGGGGGGGCTGATTATTATTATTATATTTTTTTGAAGGGGGGGGGGGGGTCGCGATTATTATTATTATTATTATTAGCCCACCACCACCACCACTCCTACTACCACTACTACTACTACTACTACTACTACTACTACTACTACTACTACTACTACTACTACTACTACTACTACTACTACTACTACTACTATTACTACTGACCACTACCACGACCACACTACTATTATTATCACCAGTATCACTACTACTACGACTAATAGTACTACTACTACTACTACTACTACTACTACTACTACTACTACTACTACTACTACTACTACTGCTGCTGCTGCTGCTACTACTACTACTACTACTACTACTACTACTACTACTACTATCACTACCAGTATCACTAGTGCTACGACTACTACTACCACCACTATTAATACTGCGACTATAATACCACTACTACCTAGGGGAGGGCTTCCGGGGGAAGGGAGGGGGGGGGGGCGCGATTATTATGGGGGGGGGGGAGGCTGGGAGGCTGATTTTATTTGGCCACCCTACGACGACTTTGGCCTACGGCAGGCTCCGGGGGGGGGGGGGGGGGGGGCATGGGCATTATTATTATTAGTATATATATTTTTTTTTTTGGGGAGGGGGGGGGAGATTATTTATTATCTTTTTTTTGGTTTTTTTTTCTTTGTTTGAGGGGGGGGGGGGTCGCGATTATTATTATCAATAGCACTACTGCTACTACTACTACTACTACTTCTTACTACTACTACTACTACTACTACTACTACGACGACTACTACGACTATGAAGACTACGACTACGACTACGACGACGAGGACAACGACTACGACTACGACGACGACCACGACAGGACTACGACTGCGACTACGACTACTACTACTACTACTACTACTACTACTACTACTACTACTACTACTACTACTACTACTACCTCTACTACTGGGCGTTTGGGGGGTGGGGGTGAGGGTCTGAGGTCGGAGGGTTGAGGCGAAATGGTTTTCCATTCCATTATTATTATTTGGGGGGGAGGGCGGGGGGGGGGGGGGGGGGGGTCCATTATTATTATTTTGGAGGGGGGGGGGGAAATAATAATAATGAAATCGTGCATGACTTGAACGAGGCTGTTTTGGCGGGCTTTCCTGCAGAAAGCATTCACACATTGCCTTGCGCTACGACTATCCAGGGGGGCACGCGGGAGGACTATGCGACCTATCCGGTTGATTATCTGAATTCTCTGGACTTGCCTGGCCTGCCACCGGCAGCGCTGCGACTTTGCCGCGGAGCTATCGTGGTTTTGCTGCGGAACGTCGACTACGAGGGAGGGCTTTGTAACGGTACACGCGCTCTGATTATAGTATCTCTCCGCGCGTCCTTGATGTGCTCTTGCTGAGTGGCCGCTGTGCCGGGCAGCGTACGTTTCTGCCGCGGATCCCAATGAGCCCTTCTGATTATGTGCTCCCGGTCAAATTGGTACGGCGGCAGTTTCCGGTGCGATTGGCCTGGATTATGACTATCAACCGTGCTCAGGGCCAGACTTTGCAGCGCCAGCGCCTCGGATTCTCCGTGTGTTGCTGACTGCTGCCGACCTGAGCCTAGGCATGTTTGCTTTGCTCGAGCTTAGCCACGACCAATTGTCGAATGTTTAGGTGCTGGCCTCTTCCTTCCGAATCTCGTCTTCGCTCATGGGCAGCTCTACGTGGCGCTGTCTCGGGTTGGCCCCAGCGCGCGACTGCGCGTGCTGCTGGAAGCTTCTGATGTTCAGGGTGTGACCGCGGACGCTTCCATTTACACGCCTAACATTGTGTACCGAGAAGTCTTGCAGCCTGCACCGGCTCGGGCATGAATATTGCTTGCGTTTGCTTGACAGCAAAATAGGGCATTCCTGCGTGCAAATCAGACTTTGCGCGCTGTGTGGGCTAGCTAGACGGCTCTGAGGCTCGTTTCTGGCCGGCTCGGACTCCAGCCTTGCAGGCCGCGCTCTCAGTTCTGCGTGAGCTTCTTGGTAGTGCGCGCGTGACTGTTCGCTGCCGACCGCATGATTGTCCTTGCACTTTGACAGATTCGTAGGCGTATGTGCCGTCGATGGAATCGACGGGTCCCCTCTAGTTGTTTCTTAGAATCAAATTTACCGAATATTGGAATTAATAGTGAAATGTATAGATGAGATACACGATAATTTTTTACTATTAATTAGGTTGAATGATTTCTTTCTTTAAAAATATTGGTTATAAATTAGGATCGCACATCGAAGATAAAATTATTCGAATGAGAATGAAATATCGTATATAGAGAATATAGAACCTCGACAAAGAAATTCATTCCTTTTTGTTCTATATATTCTCAAGAGAAAATAAGTTTATTATAATTCTGAATTAAGAGGGTATATGGAGCAAATCTAGATTCGAAGATAAAGATGAGATTCTAAAATCTGATTATAAATTATTGAATAGGTTTTTATTATTTATTTAATAAATGAAATCTTAGTTTCGGTATTTCATATTAGCCTTGTGGTCTATAATGTTTGCCATATGGGGGCAAACATTAATTAAAGAAATACATCGTCACGAAGTCTTGGATGATTATTTCATTATTCTAGATTTATTTATGAAATTACGAGTGGTATTTTTATTTAAATCGAGGATAATAAGGATTTTTTGCTGGAATACGATATGTGCGTCCAAAAGCGTTAATTGAACAAAAGAAGATCCGAATTCAGATATCATTGAATTACGATATTCAATCCGAGAGATTTCTGCTCTCTTGGTTTCTACTCCCGCATGCTCCAATTAATCCGATTTCATGGTTCGATTTAAGATCGAAAAAGAGAGAGGAGACTTACGCTCCGATTATAATATAAAAGAGAATACCGGATGGCAGAAGAAAACAAAAGGATCCAAGAACAAGCGATCAAAGGATATTCTCTGATAGGAATTAAGGAAGTCCGGATGAGGTTTACCAAATGATTCCCTCTTCGCATAATTGAGGCCTTATATTTGACGAATATCGATCTTATATGACGTTACAATAAGAAGGTCATTTTCGATTGGATTTGATATCGAAATATATCTGACCTATGATATTGGATATTTTCATATTCCTATTATATGGCATTGAAAAATGAAATCATTTCCCTATCGTATCCTCCTATTACCTCAAAAATGAATGATTGGAAATCCATATTCTGCCCCATACATTGCCATGTAATATCTTGTGATGAACGTTCGAATTCTGTAGACGCCCTCGCCATGGCGGCTGCGTACTCAGCTACCTTTATGGACGCCGATATTCGATATTATTCATGGAGATATTATGATATAATCAAGTACCGAATTCGGATGATTTCGTCAAGTGCTCTAGATGAGGAGGATCATAGATAATAAGAATATCTCCAATGACCATTATCGTGGGATATCGGATGATAATCCCGAGACCTCCAATTAGGATCTCGAATCGATTTGTTATGATAAAGGATAATTACAATTATGATATATATATTGAATAATTTAATATGATATCTTTCCCATATTCATATTAAGGCATGATATCATTCTCCTATGGAAGAAAAGATATCCATTATCTTCTTGGAATATTATCATATCTAATCGTAATGGAATAGAATCTGAAATTGTAATATTAGATAAGAAGGAATCCTCCCTCCTTGATGGAATCGAGACAATCCAATCCCACGATATCGGGTCCCGTGGCGTATAAATGAATACGATCGGCAGGATTTATCATCGATAAGATTGATCGGTCAAATCAATTTATTATCTCAATGGGAGATGAGATGATTTCGGATATTCATCATATTCCAGATCGAAGAAAAATTTGGAAATGAATATCTAATGATAAATTCTATAATAGGATCTCTTTGAATATTGAAAAATGAATTTCATCAAATATGAATATAATTATATCCATGATTATCAAATAGATAATCTATTCAATAATTCATGATCTGATTCGAATCTCGCCTTCGAATTTAATTCGGATTGACGATGATTTTTTCTGAGAATATATATAATGAAAATGGAGAATTTCTTTATCGAGATTCTATATTCTCTAATTACGATTTTTTATTCTTGTTTCAAAGATTTCGTCCTCGATAGAAAATTTGATTTATATAATCAATATTTAGTTTCTTCATTTCATTCTCTTCTTTTGTTTGCTTCTAAATTATATTATGAACCCCCTAAGAATTATATGGGAGAAAGGGATGCATTAATTGGTCTTTTCCATCGGCGAAGCGAACGACCGGGAAAATAAGGGAGAAAGAAATATGAATATTATAGATAAAATGTCAATTAAAATATGGGTTTCTTTGCGAAGAGAATTCCATTACAAATTTAATTGGATTTCTGATTCTTCGTTCATGAATTAATTCATTTGCGAGGAATTGAAATATTATTATGATTAATGAAGATGATATATGAATCATTTCAAGAAATATCCAAGAATATTATGAATTAAAATATAAATGAAAGAAATGAATTCCTGAATCATATTGTTGCTATAACATTACAATGAACGAATGCTTCGTAAGGAATATCCAGAACTCC